AACACATATACCATGTTATGAGGCTGCAGTTTTATTGTCAAACAGGTCCCTCTCCTGTGCTGGGCCCGCTAAAGGGACTCTGATATTCTTTTTTCCAGCTTCATACATTCTCCATGGTCTAGCATGAAATATAAGTCACCCCTCCTATGTTTCTATTGTGGATAGAAAATGTGTGGAGCATTAGACTTTTCTGTTTTTAGTTGCTATTGATAAAAGTTTCCTTATAATGAAAGGTTTGTCATTAGGTGAACTTGTTATAATGTAGGGTTGTCAAATGAGGTGAAAAATTGTTCCCTGGTCTCGTGGTTTACTCTTGCAAGCAAAGTATTTATTGTAGAAGTTTTACTGGAAGATATTTTATTTCAAAAGTACCTTTTTTAACTTTTACAAACTCTTTTTCCCTGTCCCATCTCCCTTCTTTCCATTCTTGGCTGTTGGCTGGATATGTAGGTGTTACGCAGTTGCTTTCCATTTCACTCATATTTATGGGATATGGTCACCGCTTGATGTACTATTTCTCCTCAGTATGATGCAATGCTCCCTGATACTTCTTTCTCTCTGTAACTCAGACCTCTTCTCTTTGACCTGATTACAGCTGGAGGGTTGGGTATTCCAGTTCCTTCTGCTTTTATTTTGCCTGAGGGTGTGGAGAGCAGGACCCTGGGATGTGTTGCTGGCCTTTGAGATTGAGGTGCCAGTTTGTGATTTTCTTCTGCAGGGTCACCGGTAGTCCAGTTTCATAACTCACTCCACTTAAACACGACTGGATGCTACTGGTATTTGGGGATGGGAAATTTGTCTAAAGATCCCCAAATCCCACAATTCCAGGATGGACCTTTTGAAGGTTTGCTTTTGACAGAGGCAATGAGACCCAATAATTCATTTCTCCTGAATCCTTATTCTTTCCCCCAGCAGCTTTGTCTGTTTCCCTCTAGAAAAGTCAAATATGACATATGGAGCTCCTAAGTTTTGGCTGCTGTGTTGTAATCAGGGGTAGGGTGAAGTTAAAGAGAGGAAAAAATGGACAGGACAGGAAGAGGGCGGTGCTGGCTGAAATCTCCATTTATTTTTGTGGAAAACTTGCCCTGGGTGTCACCGTCTTACTGACTTTACTGTTCAGCCTTTCTTTTCCATCAGAGAACACCCAAAAAGTCAAGTCAGTCCTGACAGCGTTTCTATTTCTGGAGACTTCTGAGGGCAGGGGCTTGTATACTTGAAGGGTTATGTACATACTTACCCCCAGGTGGCCCACCCATTCCTCATTCTCCCTCCTTCCAAACGAGGGATTTAAGAGTGGGGTTTTCAATATTCTTTTCCACTCAGCTGTCTTTGCTTAGATCTATTTCCTGAGGAAGACGTCACATTAATTTGCGACATTTACTACATTTTCCTGGCTCCCACTGTTCATTGTCTACAGGACAAAGCCATTCATTTTCCTTATTACTATGCTGCTCATGTAATAACTTTTGGTTTTTACAGTTAGGAATTTAATTTCGTTTTGGGAAGGAAGGTCCTGTGTTCCAGCCTTATTTCATCTCCTTCCACAGAAACTCATGCACGTAGTCAACAGGGAAGCCAACTCCACTGACACAGCAGGGCATCTTCATCCTCTGTGGGACACAACCCATACGCTCAGCACAGTGGGTCTGGCCCTGCACAATCTGGCTCCTTCATTCCTCTCCAGGGATCTCTCTGCATTCGCATTCTCTGTCCTCCAGCAACACTGAACTGCTTGAGTTACTGTTCACATCATGCTATTCTATGTCTCCTCTGTGCTCTGGTGTTGTTTCCTGAGGCTGAAAAGCCCTTGGCTGACTTTCTCTCCTTCCTTC